AAGAAGAAAATTGCGTCATGACTTGGTGCTGCCCATCTTGGCCAGGACGCTCTTGAAAAAGAGATTTCAAATCTCAATGAGACTTTCCTGGTTAAATAAAGGTTACAAAAGGGGGGTGTAAGATTTTTCTATATGTGGGGTTCTGGGTAGCCAGCGGCTCCGACCTGCTTGCTTACAGCTGCACCAGGGTCGGACAGCATTCCTGTGTATATTAAGACAGGAATTCCCAAACTCGTCCCTGGTCCCTGCCCCCCCCCGCCCCGTCCCGTTTTGGTTTTTGCCCTAGCACTATACTGCCGATTCAAATATATAGAAAAGCTTGATGATGAGTTGGTTATTTGAATCAGCTGTGTAGTGCTAGGGCAAAACCCAAAACGGCATGAGATATGGTTCTGAAGGTGTTCCTCAATCCAGGGATGAGAAATGTGTTGTACTCCGAATTGTCCCATTATCCTAACTGTTACACCGTAAAGATTAAACTGCTAGTTTAAGTATAGCAGTTGTTCAATCTTCTCGGTGTAACAGTTGGAATAATGGGACAATTTGGAGTACAACGCATTTCTCATCCCTGGATTGAGGTATGTTTTCCCAGCCACATCTGGCTGGGAAAGCCCCCTGTAGCTCAGTTGGTAGAGAATGGCGCTTGCAACGCCAGGGTTGTGGGTTCGTTTCCCACGGGGGCAAAGTATGAAAATGTATGCACTCACTAACTGTAAGTCGCTCTGGATAAGAGTGTCTGCTAAATGACTAAAATGTAAATATATATCTCACATTGGCTACGCAGTGTCTTAATATACACAGCAATGCTGTCTGACCCTAGTGCAGCCAGTAAGCAAGCGGGTCGGATCTGCTAGGCAGGGTTCTGGGTAGAGCCTCAACCACTCCACTTCAGAATTGTACCTACACAATGCATGGCCAGCTGTTAACATATAGGCCTGTAAGTTAACCTGAAAGAAAATGGCGGCAGTGTAAGAGTCAACACAGTTTCTATAATTGGCTTTTATTTTATTTTTCCGCATGTTAAAAGTTCTCTTTAAAAAGCGTGCAAGGAGACGCATGCTTTCTTTGATAAACAGGAACAGTTACCTACCACACAGTATTATGCCCAATAAGGCATCAATAGGGAAAATATGATTTATTAAATCAAATTCGTTAGATAAAATAGGCCCCTATCGAAATTACCATTGGTTCAGTCCCCATTTTTTTTTTTTATAAATAGGATACACTGGCACGTGGATGGCTCAAACATACGTATTGTTGAGAAAAATAAATCTAACGCGTGGTCCAAATTACATTAAAACAATGCAAACAGATTTATTTACAATTATGATTAATCTACAAAGTGTTTTAAGGTGAATAGAAAACATGTTATCGAATGTTTCTTTTACGAGACTCCATCGACAACAATGTATCAATCTACAACTTTCTAAAATGTGATCTCTCTTCTGCGCGCTGGTGATGGTCAAGCAAACATGACGTGTACAACAGTAGCCTAGTTTTCCAAAGTAGTGTCTCAATAATGTTTAACTACGTCGAGGAATTAGGTAAACAATTTGCCGACCAGGTTACAAAATGTAGTCCCATCATAGTAGATAAAATATTAGTTTCAAAAGTGTAAAACAACTACATATCACTTTCACGTCTGTTGTTGCCAAATTTGTTACAGTATCTAACTAAATGGGGCACGGTGCCAAAGGAAAACGTCGGCCAGCAGCGAACTGACTCGATCGAAACTCACCATTTGCGATTTCGAGTTTTCCATCCTCTCCTCAGTTTACCAATTTAACCTTTTTTTCCACTCGTTCTCTCTCCTACGCAAACCAATTTACATGACAATTTAGTTTGCTATGATAAAATGTCGGTTGAAATGCATATAACGCCTGTAACTGTTGTGATTGGAAGAGTCGCGAGGAGGCCAGTGCAGTGGTAAATGCCGGGGCCTCACCTCCCTGACCGCTGCCTGAGCATAAAAAAAAAACATCCTAGTCTTGATTGTCTTTGCCTGTATAGGTTAGCAGTCTACACCCCCCACTGTAACAAGAGAAGGCCCGCCCTACTTGAAAAGTGGTGCCTCTTCGTTTGCAACATCATGGTGTTGGTCAATTCTTACCACAGTGCTCCTCTTGACAGCAAGGTCAAATACTATTTACTATGAACAGTGTTTATAGAATAAATTATGCAACTGTAGCCTGCTATGTGAAGCTGTTTTTCATAGCAGAGCATATAGCCTACTAACCAACACCATCAACAATACATGTATCCATGGATGATCAATGTATTTTGCACGTGTAGCAGGGTTAGTTATGTTTCCACTTGACACTGCAAAAATATGTATTCAATGTTTATGTATTCCTATTGGTTGGTTGAATTTACATATCAATAAGGTGTTATGCCATTGGTCATGCTTGCAGATAGGGGTGAGATCGCGAACGTAAAATCTTCCCAGTTTGATATTGACATGCATGCAGTCGGTTACGTTCTAAAATACTGTATTCTATTTTCATTATGTACGAGTTCACTATGTACTGATGTATATATGTGTATGGTACCTGTTAGGTATTGGGGGCATCCTGAGATGTGCTTTTTGTATGTTATTGCTGTAAGAGCTAGTTAGCTAGCATGCTGTAATTGTAATGGGGGGCGGCAGGTAGCTTAGTGGTTAAGAGCGTTGTGCTAGTAACCGTAAGGTCGCTGGTTCTAATCCCCAAGCCGACTAGGTGAAAAATCTGTCGATGTGCCCTTGAGCAAGGCACTTAACCCTAATTGCTCCTGTAAGTCGCTCTGGATAAGAGCGTCTGCTAAATTACTAAAATGTAAAGGTAATATTAGCTCCCTGCTAATTCAGTTATTTCCATGCTAACATACGAATCTACAGCCATCAACAGTGTTGTCCTGCACATCGAATGTGCTTCCTTGTGTCTGTCAGAATAAACACGAATCAACTGGGCTCACTGACTGGACACAATGCTACAATAGAGTTACAAAGTATGATCACATGTTATGCTGGTGGGGAGACCAGTCTTGTCTTCTCTGGACAGAGGTTAAATAAATCAGGTTATCAATTTCTTTTCATTCCATAGTTCTATATCATAATTTCCAACTATAACCATTACATGTTTACAAAATCATGCTTTTAATATTTGTGTAAAATGCCTACAAATCCATAACTAGGTCTGTTCTTTGGCCATGTTGATATAGTCTCCCCCATTTTATAATGGAAGCCATCAATGCGCTTCAGCGCGATGAGCGCACAATTAGGTCATGTGTACAGAATATAGTTTGTGTGAAATGACGTCAAAAGTGGATTTTGTGTGCATTTTTGCTAACCCTTTTCCTACCCGCAACTTAATTATCCTAACATGCGTGCTTCGTTAAAGCGCCTAACCTGCTATGAAAAGTACATTCTGGTAAATACTGACATAAACTGTATACTCTAGTCAAAACCGCATATAAAAATATGTTAACAGTACTTATCCAATTCATGACTCGATTCTGCTCCCTGGTGGCAAAAATGCACTAGAACATCAGACTGCATCACCAGTTGCTATGTACTAGTAGCTACGGTAGCGCAGTGCAAGAGTAATTCGTGAAGTAATAGGCTTACATGTTCTCCAGGACACCTACACCACCAGGTGCCGGCCAAGCTCAGGGACCCCAGCCACGGCTTGTTCTCCCAGTTTCCATCACTGACGCAGGCAGTATAGGAGCATCACGGCAAAAACTGTAAGACTGGCCAATGGCTTCTACCAAAAAACAGAAAGGAAAATGCTGCACACCCCCAGACCATCAGGCAGCTGAATAGCCACCACTAGTCAGCTACCTGCCCCCCACCCAGACATTACCCTGCACCCACCCCAACGGTCATTTATCATTGCCACAGTTAATCTATTTTTTTTTTTACATTTGTTTTTCACTTTGTCCTGCATTGTTGAGCTCAAGAATGTCACTATACCCTGTAATTACTATTAAACTAATCCCACCCGAACTCACCTCCTCCCACCTGCCTTCCATCTTTGAGGACATGCATTTCTACTGTTAGAGCGGTCACCTGACTATCTTGTCAATTTAACAACCAACCTTGGCCATGGGCGGGCTTTTTAGACATTGCAGCAGACGTGAAGCATTTTGGTTAAATTGTGATCTACAAGTAATAATGTACAGTTATTTATGCTGCAAGGTAATTTGTAGTTCAGTCAATCACCTGCAATGTTGAACAAATACCAAAACTCCCAAAACAATAACAAAAAAGCACATTTGTGACACATTCAAGAAAATGTATTTTTTTCCCTTTATTAGGTTCATCAATATTTTACAAGCAAAATAACTTAATAAAGGCCCAAATTAAATATCACACATTATACGAGGCAAAGACGAAGTACAAAGTTCCCAGAGACAACAGCCCCGAGAGTCCCAGAGACAACAGCAGCCCTGAGAAAAATAGGGAGAGAAAGAAGAATCAGTTAAAGAGGCCTAGTTTAGGCATGACAGTGACTAAACCTGGATAGGTGTAAGCAATATTGATGCATTTCCACCAGGCATATCGAAGGGCAATATACAAGATGGCGCCATCACCATATTGCTTACACCTATGCAATCCTCTCAGATCTATATAACTGCCTAGGTCCGTAGTGCCGCACTGAAAATGGGTTATATTTCCTTGCTGTTAATTAGCCAAAATATAGTCCTCCATCCATTGGTTAATGCTCTGACTGTCTAGCTTTTATTTCAGTGATCATCAGCGAGCTGGACAGTCAAAAACTATGAATGATATCATTTCTACAGTTTCGATTTGGTTTTAGTCATTTTAAAGCATATTGAGTTTGTTTCTCCCCTCCATTAGAAATATTATTTAAAATTACAAACAAAACGTGTGCCGGATTTAAACCCATCGCGGGCCGGATCGGGCCGTATGTTTGACACCCCTGGGACATCTGGGATTCAGGGTATATAGGAGGGCTAGACAGTGCACGTCAAGTGCACATTCGATACCTACCCATCTATAATTTGTCCATGCCAAGCTCTTCAGGTGTGGAGATACCAAGTTCATCTAGTGTTGGCCGCAGCTCCTGAATTAAGTATGGGTAGATGTCTTTGTGGGGGCCAGATTTGTCCTGGGGAAAGAACATCAAACCAACTGCTTTGAGAAAAATTACAGATGATGTGGCAAAACATATATATACACAGTGGGGAAAAAAAGTATTTAGTCAGCCACCAATTGTGCAAGTTCTCCCACTTAAAAAGATGAGAGAAGCCTGTAATTTTCAGCATAGGTAAACGTCAACTATGACAGACAAATTGAGAAAAGATTTTCCAGAAAATCACTTTGTAGGATTTTTTATGAATTTATTTGCAAATTATGGTGGAAAATAAGTATTTGGTCACCTACAAACAAGCAAGATTTCTGGCTCTCACAGACCTGTAACTTCTTCTTTAAGAGGCTCCTCTGTCCTCCACTCGTTACCTGTATTAATGGCACCTGTTTGAACTTATTATCAGTATAAAAGACACCTGTCCACAACCTCAAACAGTCACACTCCAAACTCCACTATGGCCAAGACCAAAGAGCTGTCAAAGGACACCAGAAACAAAATTGTAGACCTGCACCAGGCTGGGAAGACTGAATGTGCAATAGGTAAGCAGCTTGGTTTGAAGAAATCAACTGTGGGAGCAATTATTAGGAAATGGAAGACATACAAGACCACTGATAATCTCCCTCGATCTGGGGCTCCACGCAAGATCTCACCCCGTGGGGTCAAAATGATCACAAGAACGGTGAGCAAAAATCCCAAAACCACACGGGGGGACCTAGTGAATGAACTGCAGAGAGCTGGGACCAAAGTAACAAAGCCTACCATCAGTAACACACTACGCCGCCAGGGACTCAAATCCTGCAGTGCCAGACGTGTCCCCCTGCTTAAGCCAGTACATGTCCAGGCCCGTCTGAAGTTTGCTAGAGTGCATTTGGATGATCCAGAAGAGGATTGGGAGAATGTCATATGGTCAGATGAAACCAAAATATAACTTTTTGGTAAAAACTCAACTCGTCGTGTTTGGAGGACAAAGAATGCTGAGTTGCATCCAAAGAACACCATACCTACTGTGAAGCATGGGGGTGGAAGCATCATGCTTTGGGGCTGTTGTTCTGCAAAGGGACCAGGACGACTGATCCGTGTAAAGGAAAGAATGAATGGGGCCATGTATCGTGAGATTTTGAGTGAAAAACTCCTTCCATCAGCAAGGGCATTGAAGATGAAACGTGGCTGGGTCTTTCAGCATGACAATGATCCCAAACACACCGCCCGGGCAACGAAGGAGTGGCTTCGTAAGAAGCATTTCAAGGTCCTGGAGTGGCCTAGCCAGTCTCCAGATCTCAACGCCATAGAAAATCTTTGGAGGGAGTTGAAAGTCTGTGTTGCCCAGCGACAGCCCCAAAACATCACTGCTCTAGAGGAGATCTGCATGGAGGAATGGGCCAAAATACCAGCAACAGTGTGTGAAAACCTTGTGAAGACTTACAGAAATCGTTTGACCTGTGTCATTGCCAACAAAGGGTATATAACAAAGTATTGAGAAACTTTTGTTATTGACCAAATACTTATTTTCCACCATAATTTGCAAATAAATTCATTAAAAATCCTACAATGTGATTTTCTGGATTTTTTTTTCTCATTTTGTCTGTCATAGTTGACGTGTACCTATGATGAAAATTACAGGCCTCTCTCATCTTTTTAAGTGGGAGAACTTGCACAATTGGTGGCTGACTAAATACTTTTTTTCCCCACTGTATATATATATATATATACACATATAATAGCTTTTATACTTTGCTTATTCCGGAGTAGAATGATGATTACAAAAAAAATATTAAATACTTGGGAGTTTGCCATATACCTCATGTCCAGACGAAAAAGCCAGAATAGGGGATAGACTAGCGAAGACTAGGCCAGTCAGAGAAAGGGGTTATGCTGAAACGTTGCCATTCAACACATGTTCTCGTAGCACTGATCGACACCATTTTCCTGTTCAGAGGAGCATCCTCCAACTCACCTTGACAGCCTCCAGGATACGGATGGCACTAGCCAGGTCGTTTAACCTGCGGCAGGCTCTGAGGGCTGCGTCCAGGATCTTAGGCTCAGGCACCAGGTCGTACCCAATCAGCGTGTTCATCCCTGGACAAACAACGTCAGGTTAGTTACCACAGGATGATAGAGTCTACTTTTAACAACAGTTGCTTCTTAAAAAAATAAAATAAATGAATGATGCCAAGTCACTTGGTCTGTGAGACTCAAATGTTTTTTAATATTTTTTTTTACTCAAATCATTCCTTTAAATTTTGCTCATCTAGAGCGCTGGTTCTGCCCTACTACCAGTACCCCCGGGGAAGACTCATAAGAGAGATTGGGGTTCAGTAAACAGAACAGGTTGAGTATAGGGTTGGCATGGTGACCGTCTTACCGACAGTCACGAGTCATGACCGCAGTCAAATTCCACGTGACCGCTGAATCATGAAAACTAGGGCCGATAGGCTAAGCCTACTATTTATTGCTCAACATTGCTAATATTAAGCACATCGCGTCACTTCACAACAGGAGTAGCCTACCTGGCTGGCATGAAAATGAACCGCAGGAAAATGAACCGCAGGAAAAGAGTCCTCTATTCGCTCTTCAAGTGCATACTTTTATTTTACAAAATGTTCCATTCCAAGAATAAATCACTTTACTCCCAGGTCTTTTTATTTTGTTTAACCTTTATTTAACTAGGCAAGTCAGTTAAGAACAAATTCTTATTTACATTGAAGGCCTACACCGGCCAAACCCGGATGACGCTGGGCCAATTGTGCGCCGCCCTATGGGACTCCCAATCACGGCCGGTTGTGATTCAGCCTGGAATCGAACCAGGGGGTCTGTAGTGACGCCTCAAGCACTGAGATGCAGCGCCTTAGACCACTGCTCCACTCGGGAACCCAGTATTTCCCGCCAAAACCAGAAGGGTCATTCAAAAGCATATAAATGTCTGGATTTGATTAGAGCTTTGATTGAAAATTCAAGTCTGATGCTACCTGCGCATGAGGAGCCATACATAAAAAAAAAAAAACATTTAAAATGAGCCATACATTTAAAAAACATTTTATGAGCACTACATTAAAGACATTTAATGAGCCCAAGCAAGCCCAAATGATTGTGCCGTTATCCAAAACATATGATAAAGGCTAATGCACATTACGCACGACAGAAAAACATAAGCCCATAGATGTAGCTAGCTTTATGCTCTCTTCGTTAGTCACATCATGAACATATAGCCTAAGGTTTGAATCACAACTAAAGTTACATAAATAACTGTAAATAAAGAATATAAAGGAGGACCTGTTTCAAATGATCCGTTCAATTGTATTAGTCTTACTATAAAATAACGCCACTGGAATCATAAGCAAATCTTGTCTGCTAAATGAACTAGAGCCATAGCCTAACGTAAGGATAACTGAGAATATGCTATTATGTTCTTCTGAAATAGACTACATTTTCACAACGTGTTTCTTTAGACCTTTGTAATAAAGCCCTTTTGTGGGGAAAAACTCATTCTGATTCGCAGGGCCAGGCTCCCCAGTGGAGAAATTAAAATCAGGCCCTAACCTATGGATCTCACATGACTTGGCAGGGGTGCAGCCATGGTTGGGCATAGCCAGGGCTGCACCCCTGCCCAGTCATGTGAGACCCATAGATTAGGGCCTAATTTATCTATTTCAATTGACTGAACCTTATATGAACTGTAATTCAGCAAATTATATTTTTGTTCAGCGTAAATTTATTTATTAGACTTCATCAAATGTAGATGTTCCAAAAGGTCAGCATCAGTGGCTTGTAGGCTATGCGTGAAAGGCCGGAGATGCTAAACGTGTTTCGTAATTAACGGTCAATTACTGTGAGACCGGCAGTTATTTGCATGACATTTCCCAGCTGACAAAATGTAATGACCGCCACAACCCTAGAGCACACGCTCTATATATACACACAGTCTTCCAAGTAGTCAATGCAGCACTATGCTCCTCCTCATAATCCCAGGGCTGACCAGGTGGTGTCCTCACTCACCTTTCCTCAGCTCCCATGCATCAATATCTGCCTTATTAAAATAGGTGATCCAGCGGGCATCAAACTCCTCGTCAGTCTCCTGCTTCCCACCATGGGAGTAACACCTCTGGGCCAGGGGAGCTGCGGGAAAAGATACATGGATAATTAGACAAATGTTGTCAGCACCTCACTCTTGTACCTTGGGGAATAGAGACTATAGTCAGACTAGAGCATCGCCTCAGACTCATCAGCGCCAGAGAGCACTTATTGCCACAGACATTCAGAGCCCAGTGCAAAACATGGGGGGGGGGGTCTGAGTATCCATAGCAACGACATCACTTGGGCTGCTCTGCTCAATGACGAAAAGCAGCTAACTGCTCTAAACTCTGATCAAACTCAAATAGTATTTTGTGAAAAAATTTGTCGAGGTTGATGCACTTGACGCCATATTATGATTTTAGTCAGATATGACTTTACTGCGCAGCAGAGCACAAGCAAATGGCTCTTACTAGTCAAGGGTATTTAGCTACATCTACTAGTGCTGTGTTTACACAGGCAGCCCAATACTGATATTTTTCCCATCAATTGGTGTTTTTACCAAATCACAGATCTTTTTCTGAGCTGATCTGACCGGTCAAAAGACCGATTAGTGAAAAAAATATCAGAATGGGGCTGCCTGTGTAAATTCCGTCTGCCTGTGTAAATGCGGGCCTAGTGTACTAGGAAAGGAAAGGTTGTAGAGTCCAGTTGGCTCGTTGCCAGTGTACTTGCATGACCTAGCTAGATGGCAGTCATGGGACCATTACTGCTTAAATTATTCACAGTCCATTCAGGGTGAGGGAATGTAAGCCAGGTTTGACATCACAGTAAATTATTGCCTGACTGACAATTCTTCCACTGCTCTATCATTCGGTAAGGTTTTTTTTGGCTGTTCGGGCACAAATTATCTTGAGGCAGGTGGAAGTTCGGAGCCGAAGTCTACACCCCTTCATCGGTGATTGGTCAACTCTTCAATAAAGTTTTGTTATTCAACGAGAGACTACTAGTTTTCATGCACATTTTCTCATTGAGAAATACTGCACCAAACATTTTAAATGTAAAAATTGTGCAACTAAGATCTTCTCTGTAAAAACAAATTCATGACACATTTCAGTTCTTAGATTAATTCGGACTATTTTGAGGCTAGGGCATCTCAACATGGACAAACAGTACTATTGCCGAAGGTATTTTAAGGGAGTATGGGTTAGCTAAGTTCGTCTAGGCACCAGCCGCACTGAAGCCTTTACACAGGTGGCCCCGTGTAGCTCAGTTGGTAGAGCATGGCGCTTGCAACGCCAGGGTTGTGGGTTCAATTCCCACGGGGGGCCAGTATGAAGATGTATGCACTCACTAACTGTAAATCGCTCTGGATAAGAGCGTCTGCTAAATGACTAAAATGTTGTTGTTGTTTTTTAATGCGTGGAGCACGCTACATAGCTAATTAGCACAGGTGGCCGCCCATGATCAGAACGAGCCTCAGGGAACTTAACAAAATACCCCTGGCCATAAGAACCATCGTCAATAAGCGCCAAAGCAGTGAGCGTCTATAAACGGGTTATGCAGCATGCACTATTAACCAGCAGTTCTAAGAAGTAGTTAGCCGAGCTGGTTTGCTAGCTAGAGTTGCTGTCGGTTAGTACTAGCTCAAGTCCTTGATTTATAAGCACAATCTAGCATCTCGAGTTTAACAACCACTCCTGTCTATATGCAAACGTAAGCTAGTTAACTAGAACCTTTAACTAGCTACACCTGTCTGACCAGCCATCTGCTAGCCAATGCTAATTCGCTAGCTAGCATTAGCCAAATACAGGCCATGGATATGGCATTAGCTAGCTAGTTAACTTGCTAGCTACAGGCCTAAGCCTCACTCAAGCAGTCGGTCATTGCAAGGACACCAATAAAAATCCACTTCAATATTAAAACGCGCTTTCAAACTTTACATTTGTTTTAAGGAGAAAAGTGATATAGCGCATCCATAACACGTCTACCACTTGTAGTTCACCGAAAACGTGTATTTTGTAGTTTTCCGTCGGCAACTGATTGTGTGCTAGCAACAATATGCTACCGTTAGCTAGCCAGCCAAGAACGCCTGCCGACAGTGATTTCCGCATGAACGTCCCAAACTACGAAATTAGGTCATAAAACACAATACCTGTACACCTGAGCTGTGTCCGTGTCAAACTCCGGGCACCAGACACTGAAAGTCGGACGGCGGCTCTAAACATGATGTAGGCACAGTCAGCTACCGGAGAAGCAACTATTGATGGCTCAGACTTTGGCTCAAGGATTTTACCTAGTAGCTCAATACCAGGCTCCAACTGCGCATGCGCAAGGTTATACAATTACTATTTTTTTTCTCACGTTCAGTACATAGTGTCTTCAGAAAGTACTCAAACCCCTTGACTTTTGCAACATTTTTGTTATATTACAGGCCGAATTTAAAATAGATTCAATTGAGATTGTGTCTAATCTACACAATAACAACGTGGAATTTTGTTTAGACATTTTTACAAATTAATACATTAAAAGCTTATACGTTTTGAGTCAATAGTTACTTGTAGAATAGCGACCCAGAGTAGCCAAGGCAGGTGATAGGTGGGAATGAGGACCCATGATTGTACTAAAACAATACTTGCATTTATTACAGATGCTGGATTTCAGGATACATGGGTTGTCTCAAACAGTTGTCCATAGCAGCAACATTCAGGATAAGAAAACTAACAAAAATGACAGATGACTGCGAATCTAAAGTTCAGCCCCTCAATAAGGTTCCTACTGCAGCTAAGACTAGGCCTAAATGCTAAACAGCATAGCTAGGGATTGCCCCTTTTCCAGCTCTAAACATACCCTAACTCTCCCCTTACTGGGACTAAAGAGATTCTATCAGAACAGTCTAAATCAACTGCCTGTACATACAGGATGCAACAAACTGCTATTGCGCACATTGTAAATGGTGTTCAACCCCCGAGCTGGAAGAAAAAGATAGCATTTATCAATTTTCTCCTCAACCCCGCCCACACTTATTAACCAATGAGAATGAGCATTTAATTAGAATAACTTTACTTTGTTAATTAGACCAGGTAACACAATGCAGGGTTTCCCAAACTCTCTCATCGGGACCCCAAGGGGTGCACGTTTTGGTTTTTTCCCTAGCGCTACACAGCTGATTCAAATAATCAACTAATCATCAAGCTTTGATAATTTGAATCAGCTGTGTAGTGTTAGGGCAAAAACCAAAATGTGCACCCCTTGGGGTCCTGAGGACCGAGTTTGGGAAATGTTGCACTATACTGTTTTACCCATTTCATATGTATATACTGTATTCTAGTCAAGTCCATCCTATTCAACTATTGCTGTACATATACTATTCTATCCACATATTCTTCAGATATAGTACATATTCTATCCACATACTGTCCATAATGTCTATACATCCCATCACATACAGTACCAGTCAACATTTTGGACACACCTACTCATTCAAGGGTTTTTCTTTATTTTCACTATTTTTTACATTGTAGAATAATAGTGAAGACATCAAAACTATGAAATAACACATAAACAAATCAAAATATATTTTATTCTTCAAAGTAGCCACCCTTCGCCTGGCTAATCATCCTGAGCTAGGGCCATCTCCCATCTCCCGGCTATCTACCTCTCTGTCAACCGGACGGGACCACCTAGTGTTGACACGGAGCCCAGCCGATCCTACACGACTGGTCTGCCGTCGAAATCGTCTGATGAGGTAGATTTTACAACAGGCTTCCCATTACGACGTTGACCTGAAGATTCCATCTGCTAGCCCCGGCCTGCTAGCACACGCTAGCCGTGCCCTCTTGCTCGCTAGTGCTTTAGCAGCCCCCGAACTACCTCCGAACTATCCTATTGCTGTTCACCAGACCTTATGATAACTCAGCTATACAGCTGATGTCTGCTGGACTGTTCCTTTTTACGGTACTGCATCCTGTTTATGTTTAGCCTCGGCCCAAACTGTGTCGTCATTACCAGCTGTTGTCTTAGCTCTCTCAAATTACACCTTGATTGCTTTATGCCTCTCTCCCTTGTCAATATGGTTAGCTTATTGTTGTTTCGGTTATTTCTAATTGTACTATTTCACTGTAGATCCCCCAGCCCAGCTAAACCTGCCTTAGATAGCTCCTTTGTCCCACCCCCCATACACGCGGAGACCGACTCAATTGGTGCCTCCAGTGATGCTATCTCTTTCATTGTTACCCAACGCTTAGGTTTACCTCCACTTTACTCATATCCTTCCATATCCTTGTCTGTACATAATGCCCTGAATCTTTTCTACAACGCCCGGAAATCTGCCCCCTTTATTCTATGTACCCAACGCACTAGAAGACCAGTTCTTAAAGCCTTTAGCCGTATCCTTATTCTAGTCCTCCTCTGTTCCTCTGGTGATGTAGAGGCTAACCCAGGCCCTGCAGCCCTCAGTATCACTCCTACTCCCCAGGCGCTATCATTTGCTGACTTCTGTAATCGCAAAAGTCTTGGTTTCTTGCACGTAAATATCAGAAGTCTACTTCCTAAGTTTGAGTTATTCACTGCGTTAGCACACTCCGCCAACCCTGATGTTCTAGCAGTGTCTGAATCCTGGCTTAGGAAGGCCACCAAAAATTCTGAAATTTCCATCCCCAACTATAACATTTTCCGTCTAGATAGAACTGCCAAAGGGGGTGGAGTTGCAATCTACTGTAGAGATAGCCTGCAGAGCTCTATCACACTATCCAGGTCTGTGCCCAAACAGTTTGAGCTTCTACTTCTAAAAATCCACCTTTCCAGAAATAAGTCTCTCACTGTTGCCACTTGCTACAGACCCCCCTCAGCCCCCAGCTGTGCCCTGGATACCATATGTGAATTGATTGCCCCCCATTTATCCTCAGAGTTCGTACTGCTTGGTGACCTAAATTGGGATATGCTTTAGCGAGCAGGCCTTCCTAATTGACCTGGCCCAGGTATCCTGGATGGATATAGATCTCATTCCGTCAGTAGAGGATGCCTGGTTGTTCTTTAAAAGTAATTTCCTCTCAATCTTAAATAAACATGCCCCATTCAAAAAATACAGAAATAAGAACAGATATAGCCCCTGGTTCTCCTCAGACTTGACTGCCATTGACCAGCACAAAAACATCCTGTGGCGTACTGCATTAGCATCAAATAGCCCCCGCGATATGCAACTTTTCAGGGAAGTTAGGAACCAATATACACAAGCAGTCAGGAAAGCAAAGGCTAACTTTTTCAAACAGAAATTTGCATCCTGTAGCACTAACTCCAAAAAGTTTTGGGACACTGTAAAGTCCATGGAGAATAAGAGCACTTCCTCCCAGCTGCCCACTGCACTGAGGCTAGGAAACACTATCACCACCGATAAATCTACAATAATCGAGAATTTCAACAAGCATTTTGCTACGGCTGGCCATGCTTTCCACCTGGCTACCACTACCCCGGCCACCAACTCTGCACCCTCTGCTGCAACTTGCCCATGCCCCCCCCGCTTCTCCTTCACACAAATTCAGACAGCTGATGTTCTGAAAGAGCTGCAAAATCTGGACCCCTACAAATCAGCTGGGCTAGACAATCTGGACCCTTTCTTTCTAAAACTAGCCGCCGAAATTGTCGCAACCCCTATTACTAGCCTGTTCAACCTCTCTTTCGTAACGTCTGAGATCCCCAGAGATTGGAAAGCTGCCGCGGTCATCCCCCACTCTAGATCCAAACTGTTACAGACCTATATCCATCCTGCCCTGCCTTTCGAAAGTATTTGAAAGCCAAGTTAACAAACAGATCACCAACCATTTCGAATTCCACCGTACCTTCTCCACTATGCAATCCGGTTTCCGAGCTGGTCATGGGTGCACGCTCAAGGTCCTAAACGATATTATAACCGCGATCGATAATAGACAGTACTGTGCAGCTGTCTTCATCGACCTGGCCAAGGCTTTCAACTCTGTCAACCACCGCATTCTTATTGGCAGACTAAATAGCCTTGCTTTCTCAAATGACTGCCTCGCCTGGTTCACCAACTACTTCTCAGATAGAGTTCAATGTGTGAAATCGGAGGGCCTGTTGTCTGGACCTATGGCAGTCTCTATGGGGGTGCCACAGGGTTCAATTCTTGGGCCGACTCTTTTCTCCGTGTATATCAATGATGTCGCTCTTGCTGCTGGTGACTCTCAGATCCACCTCTACGCAGACGACACCATTTTGTATACATCTGGCCCTTCATTGGACACTGTGTTAACAAACCTCCAAACGAGCTTCAATGCCATACAACACTCCTTCAGTAGCCTCCAACTGCTCTTAAACACTAGTAAAACTAAATGCATGCTCTTCAATCGAACGCTGCTGGCACCCGCCCACCCGACTAGAATCACCACTCTCGACGGGTCTGACCTAGAATATGTGGACAACTACAAATACCTAGGTGTCTGGTTAGACTGTAAACTCTCCTTCCAGACTCACATTAAGAATCTCCAATCCAAAGTTAAATCTAGAATCGGCTTCCTATTTCTCAACAAAGCCTCCTTCACTCATGCTGCCAAACATGCCCTCGTAAAACTGACTATCCTACCGATCCTTGACTTCGGCGATGTCTTTTACAAAATAGCCTCCAACACTCTACTCAGCAAATTGGATGTAGTCTATCACAGTGCCATCCGTTTTGTCTCCAAAGCCCCATACACTACCCACCACTGTAACCTGTACGCTCTTGTTGGCTGGTCCTCACTACATGTTCGTTGTCAAACCCACTGGCTCCAGGCCATCTATAAATCACTGCTAGGCAAATCCCCGCCTTATCTTAGCTCATTGGTCACCATAGCAGCACCCACCCGTAGTCTGCGCTCCAGCAGGTATATCTCACTGGTCATTCCCAAAGCCAACACCTCCTTTGGCCGCCATTCCTTCCAGTTCTCTGCTGCCAATGACTGGAACGAATTGCAAAAATCTCTGAAGCTGGAGACTCTTATCTCCCTCACTAACTTTAAGCATCAGTTGTCAGAGCACCTTACCGATCACTGCACATGTACACAGCCCATCTGAAATTAGCCCACCCAACTACCTCATCCCTATATTGTTATTTATTTTGCTCTTTTGCACCCCAGTATCTCTATTTGCACATAATCTCTTGCACATCTAGCATTCCAGTGTTAATACTAATTGTAATTATTTTGCACTATAGCCTATTTATTGCCTTACCTCCATAACTTGCTACATTTGCACACACTGTATATATATTTTCTGTTGTATTTTATGACCTTATGTTTTTTTTTTTTTTACCCCATATGTAACTCTGTGTT